TTAGGGCATCTCTTGTGTTCATGTGACCCGTTCTAAATAGTCGAAAATGGAAAACTTAAAATCAGAGCAGCCATCGGTCTAGGGTGTCAGGGATTCCTGTTGCGTCCTAATGTTTGCACTGCGACATACGGCAACTATCAGTAACTCACTTATTTGTGTGAGACGATTATCACATAAACACTCTGTAATAGTCAATAAGGTAAAGTAAACATCAAAACATTTCTATCAACCTAAGACAGTGTATCTAAAAACAAAGGAAACAAAACTAGGGTCAACACACCGAATGAATGCTTTGACGTCACCGCGTAAAGATGCAAACCTATGATGTTCTGTCCGGTCGTCTCCTAACTACAGTAGAGAGTGAGAAAAATAGCACTATATTCGTTTAACTGTAAGTGCTGTAGCCACTTAAATCACGTGAGCCTGGTAGCTCGAAGAATTGATAGGGTTTATTGAACACACCGGACAAATAACAGTTAGACATTGCATGAAACAGATCAACAATTTTACTACTTGGATGAATTCACCTACCATTAGATGAATCAGTGCAGATAAGCATGGATAGCTGTTTACGTAGTACACTTTGTTGGTTGGGAAGTGTTCTGGAGTGGCTTATGGGGTGGCCTTAGTCACCGAATTTCAACCAGCCTCTATAAAGGAAACTAATCACAAAGTTGCTGAAAACCCTTAGACAGCTCACGATTGGTTTCGCTCTTCTTGGGACTCATCAAGCAGACGCAGCCCCCGAGTTTCCGTCAACCTCATGCTCTAGTTGAACTTAAACTGGACGGATCTCGACGAATACACTCATTTGCATATCAACTGGGTTTCGACGAGGGACCTAACTTAATCTCAATATGAGAATGATATTTGCACTCATTTGTTTTTTTTTGCGAAACGGGTCAAGTGCACACAAAGCAAATAAACAAGGTATGGAAACTTCACACGTTACCGATAACAAAGAGACCGCGGTTGTTCGTTGCTGATCACCAGTAACTAGGGGTTCGTGAAATATCGTGCACAATGAAATCTGATAAAACTTCTTGCGGGTGGGGGGGAGGCAAAGGATTTTTAATTGGCCGGATAGATCAGCGAGAAATACCAAATATCTGCTGGGTCTCCCGGTCAGGTTTTACTAATTCACATCCAGCGTATCAAGTGGGACAGAATAGATCCAGTCACTCCCCGCCTGAGTCAGGATATCTATCATTCTTCGGTGGAGAATGAAACATTGTTATTTGGTCATACGTTACCTGTATTGTATTCAAGATGCGTTGTCCAGATTCTGGCTCATCTGTACGGAGCGCATTAGGTACGGAATAGTGGCGCTGTCTGTCCCAAAATGCGGATGAATGGGAAGCCTCCTATTCCCTATTTCGCGATGTTCTGCACTACAAGATATTACGAAAATAAGCGTTGAAGATTTTTCAGCAAACATCTTCATCATCAATGACGGCAACATCAGTGTTGGCACTGATGCTTCACTGCCGTACAACCATAAAGTTCGTTTAGTTATATATATATATATAACTAAACGAACTTTATGGTTGTACGGCAGTGAAGCATCAGTGCCAACACTGATGTTGCCGTCATTGATGATGAAGATGTTTGCTGAAAAATCTCGCTTATTTATTTTCGTAATATCTTGTAGTGCAGAACATCGCGAAATAGGGAATAGGAGGCTTCCCATTCATCCGCATTTTGGGACAGCGCCACTATCAACACTGATGTTGCCGTCATTGATGATGAAGATGTTTGCTGAAAAATCTTCAACGCTTATTTTCGTAATATCTTGTAGTGCAGAACATCGCGAAATAGGGAATAGGAGGCTTCCCATTCATCCGCATTTTGGGACAGACAGCGCCACTATTCCGTACCTAATGCGCTCCGTACAGATGAGCCAGAATCTGGACAACGCATCTTGAATACAATACAGGTAACGTATGACCAAATAACAATGTTTCATTCTCCACCGAAGAATGATAGATATCCTGACTCAGGCGGGGAGTGACTGGATCTATTCTGTCCCACTTGATACGCTGGATGTGAATTAGTAAAACCTGACCGGGAGACCCAGCAGATATTTGGTATTTCTCGCTGATCTATCCGGCCAATTAAAAATCCTTTGCCTCCCCCCCACCCGCAAGAAGTTTTATCAGATTTCATTGTGCACGATATTTCACGAACCCCTAGTTACTGGTGATCAGCAACGAACAACCGCGGTCTCTTTGTTATCGGTAACGTGTGAAGTTTCCATACCTTGTTTATTTGCTTTGTGTGCACTTGACCCGTTTCGCAAAAAAAAACAAATGAGTGCAAATATCATTCTCATATTGAGATTAAGTTAGGTCCCTCGTCGAAACCCAGTTGATATGCAAATGAGTGTATTCGTCGAGATCCGTCCAGTTTAAGTTCAACTAGAGCATGAGGTTGACGGAAACTCGGGGGCTGCGTCTGCTTGATGAGTCCCAAGAAGAGCGAAACCAATCGTGAGCTGTCTAAGGGTTTTCAGCAACTTTGTGATTAGTTTCCTTTATAGAGGCTGGTTGAAATTCGGTGACTAAGGCCACCCCATAAGCCACTCCAGAACACTTCCCAACCAACAAAGTGTACTACGTAAACAGCTATCCATGCTTATCTGCACTGATTCATCTAATGGTAGGTGAATTCATCCAAGTAGTAAAATTGTTGATCTGTTTCATGCAATGTCTAACTGTTATTTGTCCGGTGTGTTCAATAAACCCTATCAATTCTTCGAGCTACCAGGCTCACGTGATTTAAGTGGCTACAGCACTTACAGTTAAACGAATATAGTGCTATTTTTCTCACTCTCTACTGTAGTTAGGAGACGACCGGACAGAACATCATAGGTTTGCATCTTTACGCGGTGACGTCAAAGCATTCATTCGGTGTGTTGACCCTAGTTTTGTTTCCTTTGTTTTTAGATACACTGTCTTAGGTTGATAGAAATGTTTTGATGTTTACTTTACCTTATTGACTATTACAGAGTGTTTATGTGATAATCGTCTCACACAAATAAGTGAGTTACTGATAGTTGCCGTATGTCGCAGTGCAAACATTAGGACGCAACAGGAATCCCTGACACCCTAGACCGATGGCTGCTCTGATTTTAAGTTTTCCATTTTCGACTATTTAGAACGGGTCACATGAACACAAGAGATGCCCTAAGGTGCTGGGAAATGCAGTTCATATCTTCTGGATCTATCCAGTCGTAGATCATCTTCAGCTGGTGATAACCTAATAGTAGTGAGCAGTTTGCGGTTGTGTGCACTGATGATGCATCCTCTATCGGTGATTAAACGCCAAGCTATACAAAAAGGCCGACAGCCGCCTAGACAACAGTCGGTAAGTTCGCCTGAGCTGACAATTCTCCAGGGTGTTACCAACCAGAATCCACGGTCGGACAGATTATTTTTCGTGAATCCAAATAGCGACAGTCTATTTGTAATACGAATCCTTTTTGACGGAAATTTTCACGCTAGGATACGCCAATAATCTACATCAAACCTAGAAATACTCAGACTCCCTTCATGGTCAATGCTAAAGCCGTTTGCTGAACCACATCCAAGCTTGTGAGATTAATGACACTATATCTTGGTTCTCTGACATTCCTAACCTGATGCGATTACTCAAATCGACCCACTCCAAATTAAAAGCACCACCAAACTATTTTTGCTTCTGTTGAGGCCCATCTGTAGTTCCTATGCTCCACTAGCCCTCGAACTCCATCCACGCGTTCGGTCGCAGCGCCATTGACTCACACTAGGCACATTTGAATGGGGCCGTCTCAAAGGTGAATTGTTCGCGTTTGAGTTGTCTATGACAGTCGCCTGATGCTTCAAACGACAAGTGATTATTTCGGGCTCTATTGGGAGTCGAACCCAGGTCTAACAGTGCCTCTTTGGTCTGTGTTACCACATTTATCCTCCTTTTTCCGAACATGTATTCAACAAACTCAAAACTGGTTGTTACACCCTTCTGGAAAAGACAGTTTGTCCTTTCCTAAGTAGGTCCGTTGTGGATGAGGGCGGCCGTTTTTCCCAACGTTAGTCACTTGACAAGGCTCTTTTCTGTGGTTACGTCTGGTGTTTTCTCCCCATTATGGTTACGAGACTGTACTTAAAAGAATCATTTGCACTTCATTGTGGCGCATGACTTTAGAGAGTATCCAAGGTTTCTGATAAAATCGGTTTTCCTTGGCGCCTTTTTTTGTGATTTCCCTCATCCTGGCAGTTTTTTTCAAATTTCCACTGTGCCGTAGGTATTCATTCATCCATACGCTGAGTTCTTTGAACACCTGGAAAACCAAGTGGCTCAACTCCCGAAAACACATCCTCGTGTTTGGTTTGATTACAACGCAAGTTATGCGATGGTTTCTTGTGTCCCAGAGTCACAGAGACTAATGGCCATCTCACCCATAGCGCAGATGAAAGCAACAAAACTTCCCACCGAATTAGAGGGGATTCGTAGTGCACATGCGATGGATGCTCTTATTCTATGTGACTTTCTTGCCTGGATGGACGAAGTTGCCGAGCGAAACCGCACATTGAATCATACAGAGCGAGTACCGATGAAGGGTGATGTATGTGAACCCGCCGGGTCACCTTCTTTGCCAGCACCAGTCAGTTTGACTGAGTCTTCTGTGGCTGGCTATCTCGACGAACTACGCTCACAAGCGCCATCCTTCGTGAGCCTCAGTTTCACTACTATTTCTGGAGCAGGTAACCGGTAAAACTTTTATTCCGAATGTATGCTAACCACTTATTTTGAGTTCACTCAATCAAGTTGAAAGCAACATCTTGCGTCCTCTCGTCCACGCGTAGCGTGATTTGAACATTGCGTAATTGCTTGTCACCAACACATTTAGATCGATCGATATTCGATTCTTTCTCTTACTCAAATGCGTGATTTTCACAGTAGCCTTCTCTAAAATCCATCTACCTTTGACACATTCACTTGAAAACACTTATAGGAAGAGCAACCCCAGGCCCACTCTGGTGGTTTTCGCATCTCGTGACTCGAATGTGTAGTTTGGTGTGAAGTCTTAGTTCCAAACACCTGTAAGGCCTCTCCACGGAATCTTTTGCACTCCCAGCAGACTTTTTACTTCCCAGTTGCAGTTACTCGTAATTGAATAGAATGCTACTCTGAGGTTTCCACTCGTTAGCCCGCTTCACGCTTGTGCCAGACGAATACGTACCCTTGTTCATCCCTTTCGTCCGACTATAGTATGCGTTTAGATTGATTGTGGCTTAGGTTCGACTTCTGAAAGCCTGACTATCAAAGTCGGTTATCTCAGTAGCTGTTGTATTCCTGTGAACCGAGTCTACGTGTTGGACTGTTTATTTCTGTGAATGAACAAGGCCACCTCGCAATAGCGATCGCATCTGCATTCTTGAGATACACGGTTTAAATCAGGTGAATTTTAGGGGGTATGCCAACTAGTATTCATTGCCGAGTAATAACGTACCAGCCCAATGCTTTTTCACCATCAACCCAAAATGTACTACAGCTCTCCGGAATTATCGGCATTCGAGGTCGTGTCTGAGCCTGGTGGTTTGAGTGTATATGACCAGTTCCTCCATGATTGGTGTAATTAAACCGAAACCACGTTGGATTCATAAAACCTACCTTCTACACCCTTTACTTTGTTTTAATTACAGACGCCAATGGTGCCATCATTCACTACCGTCCCATTCCCGGCAAAGACGCGCCTATTAGCCCATCTACGTTCTACCTGGTCGATTCGGGAGCGCAGTACCTTTCTGGAACAACCGACGTAACGCGATCCGTACACTTGCATGAGCCAACGGTCGAACAACAGTCGTGCTATACTCTAGTGCTGAAAGCTCACATTGCTGTCGCCAGTCAGGTATGCATCCAATCCTGTGTTTGGGTTTTACATGTGCAACAAGTCTTCAGCTCACCATTATTATCATTTATTTTTGAAGAGCATGGTCACAAACATAAAAAGTGAGTGCAAGCGATGAATGCGAAAGAGTAACAGGAGAATATGGGAGAAAAGAGAGAAACGTCTCATTCGAAATCATGCCAAGGACAGTGCCAGTCTGATGAGGTGAATCCCAAAGTATGTAAAGATTTTGGTATGGGAACAGGCGTCTAAAGACTAACAACCAAAGAAAGGACAAACAATGGTGAATGCTCTTCAAGGCGCAGTATGCGCTAGCACAGTCAAGACTCGCACATCAGGCACAAAGTGACCGTCATACTGGGTCTGGGGTGAGATTAAATGGCAAAAATGTACCTTCAGCTCCATGTGCCACGCATAAAAGTGTCATAAGTACGCAGGGAGCCCACAATGGCAAGCAAACACAAGTCACTGACTGCGACCTTAGGAAGTCCCAGTCCAATAACAGCCTTAGCGGATTGAGGAAAGCAGATCCCTCGATAGGAGATGATCACCGGTTGGTGAACCAAAAAGTCGATATCACAACCGATGGCATGTAGGGCTGAGATTATGGCGAGGGAATGTTCATCAGCACCATACTTCTGCTTCTTCTCATTCCACACTATCACTCCACGCCCATCCGAGACTATGCTGACGTCTATTACAGTTGCACGGCGATCTCGAACAGCGATTAGGTCAGGTTTGATGAACGACGTAGAAGTAGGGGCTCTCAACTCCTCGAAGACGGTGTACCCCAGTCGACGGAGACGTTTTGCAAGTTCCATTGCAACCCGATTATGACGAGCACATCTAGCATCATGCGTAATCCAGCAGGATTGCAAAATATGCACCAAACTCTCCGGTTGGCCACGGTTTCCACGACATAAGATCGTCTGGCCACCATGACCATGCCGAGCGCTTCTAACTCTCGTCCTAAGCAGGTTGCATCGGAGCTGGATACCGCGGATAAATATCCGTGGAAACACTCGTTTTGGGAATACGAGCCATCGATTCGAGAGAGGCGAAGTGACCAACTCTCGTAAACCGCGACCGTCAGCGCTGTTGTGCAGACTTTCACCCCAAGCAGCTACCAGCTCCTCCTTGGTGTTTACGCATGCTCCATGGACTCGGATCGGAAGGCTGAGATCCCGAACAATTTTGCCGAATGCGGAATCGTCGACCACATTGCGTAGTACTCGGCACTGAGTAGAAAGGAGCTTTTCCATACGCGTTTTCCGCTGCATCGGGATTGTTGCACTCAGACTTGGGATACCAAGTCTCCCATTTCACAGCGTACACTGATTTGTAATATCGTGTAAAGTGAGATGGCATTGGCTGTATTTATACACGAACTCACCAAATCCTTGAAGGCTTTGCGAACATCGTCGTGGCATTCGGCTATTCTAGGCTGCGTAGCGCTCAACATTTATCTCTTATTATTAAAGGCCTTGCCATATCCGTCTGTCTAAGATGCGTAATGAATAGTGTGCCCGAAATTCGACAAAAGTGACCCCAATCTGGGAGTGTAGACTGATCAACCTTAGCTCGGTCTTAGCATGTTTAAATGATTCCATGAATCCGTTTTTGGTAGTCAGCAGTAGTCGAGTTCTGCCACGCATATCTCAGAGTACGAAGCACAGCGAAGAGTGGTATTCTTCCGTAGTACATTTAACAATCGGTGTTTTCCATCGAATTTGTGACTTACAGTCGTTAGAACCTACCACGGCTTTTGCGACCATTGTGAAGCCGGTGACAACGAGCATTGTGATATTCTAGTAATACCACAGTGTCCCTTGGACATTTGGTATCGGAATTTGTTAAAGGATCTTTCGAGAGATTTATGTTTACTGCAATGCGTCCAGCTAAACCTTGTTGAATACAGGAATTTTAAACTACACGGCTAACCAGTAGGATAACATCCAAACGGTTATCCTGTCTATACACTGACACCACACCATCTCTACGCAGTTCGTCAAAAGCTAAACACGCGTGTACGTTTTATACAAATGTCTCCGCATCATATTCGTAAGCCGATTTGGAATGCGCGCATGTCACAAACATGCCATCCGAGTCTTAGGTCGTAAGTATATTTCCTATTAGTAAATTCCGCGATATTGGGATCTGGTCCAGTGGGTCCGGACTTTTCCCTCAAACTGGTGTTATCGATTTACATCACTCTTTTGTGAATGTGCATCACTGTCTGTGTAACGCGCCACGACCCACCTCTCGATCGGTGATCTATTTCATTACTGTGTAATATGATGAGGACACACTGGTCTAATTTCCTATCACCCCACCGAATAGGGATTGGATTCCATCGCTTCAAGCCTGCTTCACTAAAAAAGTGCGCGTTGTTTGGAGCGATCAACCCAGGAATTCTCACGAAACCATTAAAATTCTCTAGCGTGAAACTTGAGGCACAAGAGTAATTTGGGAGCTAATGCATGTTCACAGTGTTTATTGTTAGTCCTGTTCGTGGTTAGTTTTGAAGTTTGAATGGTGTAGATCCGGGGCAGATTGTGGGCTCAAATGCTCAACACCAGACTGGGTGAATTTGATACGTGTTTGTTTTTGACGGACCGCTCGACAACGAAAAATTCCCCAATTGTGTTTTGAGTCTGTAAGTGGCTGAAAATGGTTCAAACCTCCAAGGTCTTTGCTCGGTGTTACTTAGTTATCCTGTCTAGTTAGCGTACCCTAAGACTCCATTGGTCGAGCACGCATTGTGAAATGCAAAATAAGGTAAGTCGGGCGATGAATTAATAAATGCAAGTCTTGCTCTTCATGTTTACCTCTTTCCTGCACCCAGAGAATGCGATAGACCACGTGAATACTGTCGATAACATGGGTGTTTCGGAAATATTGTCTAACGTCCGCAACTTTCGGCGCTTGTTGCAGACCTGTAAAAGGGGCCCTTTTTATCTGCTCGTTTCCAAACCGATAACGCAGCACTTTGGGGGGTCTTTTGAGGCTCTGCACTGTACTACAACGGAACTGGTGAGGTCTGTAAACTATATACAAATTACGGTGTACCCAGCTTCAATCCATCGTAGTTCAATAAAATTTAAGTTTTCGCTTTTCGTGCTCTAGAGAATGGGCATGTATCTTTATCGGCATGTAGATCCACACCTATCTTCAGGTGGACCTAAGTGGAATTCCAGACCAATCGACCGCGGACGATTTAGTCACCTATTTTGGAAGGCGTTTTAATTTTGACCCTGGTTTTCTTGAGTTTGACTTTATTTCGTCTTGTATTCCCAGATCTTTCCAACCAATACGCCTGGAACCAGCTTGGATGTTTTGGCTCGCCGTGAACTCTGGAATTATCGTAATAACTTTGCTCACGGAACAGGACATGGAGTTGGTGCATTCCTGTGTGTTCACGAAGGACCAGTTGGTTTATCTGGTAGTCGCATGGGGAGTTGGGCCCGCCTAGGAGTCACTGAACCCGGTATCCAGAAAGACATGGTGAGTGCACTTTTTTACTTGAGCTTTACTCACCCCTCACCTGTTTGTGTTCTCTGTCCCACTGAAATAGCTTAATTCTCCTGTGTTATTTTATTGTCTAATTCTGTCACGCGAGCTATTTGATACAGTGTCTTCCCGGATCAGTGTGTTCAGCCGTTTGAGTTTACTGCGCTTATCGAAGTTCCGGTTCAAAGGCTTACTGCTTCCTAATTCACCTGCGATTTGTCTCTCCTCTTGCACGGAATTTCTTTCTGAATACAGTTTCGTCCCAGATTATTTGTAATATCCTTCGAACTCTCCAGAGACTGTTATCTAACTTCCAGACCATTGTTTCATGTCTGTTTCCCTTAGGTTGCTTCCTACAATTGACTTACCCAGGCACCCTTTCTTCCCTCCAAGTAACGGACCACTTAGAAGCGAACATTCACCTACAACCAAGAATTCCGCATAGTTAGGCGAAAGTGCAGTAGTTTCCCTCTGCGATGTTCGCCTGAGGGAACAGATCAGTGCAGTGACTCCCAAATGGAACTTTTTCTCCAGAAGGGCAGTTTCATCATATCCCGTATTAAAACTTTGCTTAACTATAACAGCTTTACCCTTCTAATTCACTGTAGTCATAACTGAGGACTACGAACTCAACCGCAGTTACCGTGTGTCCATGTGATGTTCCTTCCTACAGCGTGAATTGTTCCCCAGTTCCCCTGACCATCAAAGAGCGCTTTGGTTTATGATTCATTAATTCACATTCACATCACTCTCGTTTGAACAGTCGTCCTCCTGTGTTGGCGTAACTATTCTGATGAGTCCACACCAAAGGGAGAAGCACTGAGCTCGAGCTTCGCTCTTAGAGCTCATCAGCAGTGAATATCCTTGACCATGCTGGGGTTTGAAATCCACGCATCTGATATGTGATTTAAGGAAAATTTATCAGCTGTGGTCTCTGGTTGAGCGACCAGAGTCACGTGGCTGGTTCCTCTTTGGCTACCCACGAAGCTCCAGTCAGGGAAATTCGTCGTATCGTTGCGCTCTACGTACGCCCTTCATAATGTCAAATTGGCTAGCGAAACAGAAAAGCATTGCATAGTATTCCCGATCAGGGAGCTGTCTTAACACATACGCTTTTTTTGAGTTGTTACGCAATAAACCTTAAGGGTCAATGGTAGATTACGATGAGCTACTTGCAGCTCACGATTAGTCAAGTCTCAAGCAGACAGTACGCTTCGACCACTGGCCGAATTGCGGATGTAATGCAAAATTGTTAACCCTGATGCGTCCATTCACTTTTCGGTTGATTCACACTGTTGTCACACCCGCTGACATGTGAGCCTCGGCATAATATCACGGATGCTCTGACCCTTCCCGCGGTTTTTAGTCGTATCTCTGTCCACCGGATGGAACAATCATACCCATACACTTATTTCTTTACACTCCGACCAAATAAAAATACCGGAGGCGGAGAACAAACTGAATTTTCTTGTTGGGTTAGAGTGAGTTTACCAACAGGACGGTCAGTGGTTCCAACCCGACCTTTCCACCTCGACTGCTCCTGGCTAGGCTTGGGTAACCTGACAGTGCCTCAGCCCTCGTGTTTCCTTCGGGTGGCATGGCAGCTAGGCTCAGAAATGGTGTTACAGCTGAACGATTTTTATGAATTCTCCGTGAGACTTGTAGCCGAAGCGCACTTAAGTGACTCATTGATCAGGACAGGTCATACTACAACTGCTTGAAATGAAAGTCAGAGTGGCCTCCGTGAAACTTTTGCGCCTTCCTCGCTGGCGTCCACGTGGTTGGAAACCCTACAATTGATAGTACTTAACCGATCCTAGTTGCGTCAATGCCGTCAGTTACTAGCTGGACCGCCCAGCTAACATGTGTGCTTGGCTATTATGTCTGAGGTTTGCAAAGGACGCTGAGTAAACCCCACTGGTGGTCTTACTCTGATGTAGTTCCCAGATGCTATTCTAAGATGTGGACATCTTGACCGCGCGTCCCAATGAAATGGGACATTTTCGCCGCGTTCCTCCTTCTACTCTTTACTGGCACGTATTCCTCTGAAGGATGTATGGCAATCAGGCTCGAGCATTTACTATTTGTACGGTTGGCGAATGCCTTATAATTCAAAATGGTGCAGGATCTTATTTACTCGACAACATCTCGATTACAGCGTGGATTTCGGGAATTTACTGGTAGGACATACTGCACAAAGGACACGTAAAGCGACTCTCTATTCAGTCCAATAGACTCTATGTTGTTGATTATCTGGTGGATTTGGCTTCCATTCCTCCCACCATCTTAAAGCAGCTTTTGTTTGCCCGAGGTGGGCTTCTATTTTGTTTCACAAATTGTACGCAGAAACTACATCAGATTCCAAAATTAGGACTTCGACGCTCCAATAAGCACCTTTTACCTAATAAATTTTGTATTTCTGAGAAAAGGCTTTTTAGGCACTTAGTATGATTATTTTAGATCTTATCCCCTGATCTAACAAGCAGGAACAGCCGTTTTCACTGGGTTTCCCATTCAATATCACCAATATCAATGGCCAACCCATGACCTGGCAGGGGAGTATGAAGGAGATCACGAAACGCTTGGGTGCTGTCGCTGCTACTCGCCTTCCAGGATGGGGACCGCGTGATCCTCACTGTGCCTGGTTGGAGACACTACAAGATATGGCTGCCAACCGATGTCAGTGGCGTTCTTGTTGTCAGTTTCTGTCCAGATTGCCTGAGTGAATGTGTGGAGGTGTAGGCACCTCGGAATGATTGTGTTAAGCTAGCACTAAGTTCGTTCCCCGTCCACCTTTATTCTTTTCTTTACAATAAGGCTTTCAAATAAGTCATGGCTGTACGGCAGTGAAGCATTGGTGTTGAGCACTGATGTCATGCTGTCGTTGATGATGATGATGATGATTCAATATCACCATCAAGGACATAACTGGAGTGGAGTACTTGATTACGATTTGTTGCGGAACGTAAGCGGAACTATATGCTCAATTTTACCCTGTTCCTTGTAGGTTCTAACCATCGAACCTGGTTACTATTTGGAAAACCAGTTTGGAATTCGGTTGGAAAATGTGGTCGTTGTTGTCCCCGCAGCACCACTTCCAGTACAATACACCGTTCCGCCCACCGCGGCTTCCGACGTCGAATGGCTTACCTTCTCACCCATCACTGTTGTCCCATTTCAAAGAAAATTGATAATCAGGTCGATGCTTACTCAGTCCGAGTTGGACTGGTTGAATCGTTATCAGTTGTTCGTGCGTGAGACTATCAGGGACCAATTAATGCAGGAATCGAATCTTGCCACTTTCGATCCGGATCAATTATCTCAAACCCGTCGGCGTTGTTGGACCTGGGTGCAACGTGAGACTACCCCCTTGTGATAATTATTAGGATCCTCGAAGCTGATTCCCTCAACAGGCCGCTCTATACACAGGTGATTTGGACGTAATTTTCACTACTTGGTTTGTCTGTTGTACTGGTTCTTCCTGATCTGTCACATCCTATACCTTGTCCTCACTTGGATATGCGGACGAAACCGACCAAAGTGAACTTTTCTCGGCCTGGAAGCTACTCGCAATGGAATTCAGCATTATAAGCTTCTGAGACCGTACATCGTAGACTAAAGCTCTGTATGCCCGCTTTGTGGTTTCCGAGTGATATGTTTCCTAGGCAATCCTAGGTCATGACTGTAATTTTAGCCTCCATAAATTTGCGACGCGGTTCCTTTTAATCACCCACCCAGGGAGGAACATCTTTGTATCGCTAATATGTTCCATCTGAGGGGGTTCTTTTAGTAGGTTTTGCTTATTTATTTTGGAAGCACTTTGGTTCCTTATCAGAAAGCTGGCGATTCCGATCCATCCTTACGCGAAGACCTGTTGCATCCTAATTTTGACGAGTAATGTGTTTTGTCGAGACAAAAAATACTTTCTTGATATTTCAAAACAAACTACTTGCGGAATGCATTTCGATTTCCTATTTCTGGGCTTCATAACCGTGTTGGCATGACGTTATAGGACCTGAGCTTAGGTGTCCTACTCAGCGTCAGATGTATCAGCCTGGGCTGGTTTTGGTGCCCACCACTTTTGTATGCATCCTGCTCTTGGCAGTTTTTTGTGCTCGTAACTCTGTATAACAAGCAATTATGTCATATTATGAAATTGGCAAACATCAAGGAACCGTTTCTTTCTACCTGTGATGATAGGTTTTTAGACAATTTCACGTGTATTTATCTATTGTGACAGGTATTTGTCAACGATAAAATAGTTCCCGGTAGCGTCGATCCCATCTTAGTAGGTTATCATGAATCCAGTTTGACAGATTCAGCGCAAGCTCTCTAGATCTAAGCTCTCACATCCAGTACGGTTATCTACACACAACACGTATTATGATAAAAACTGCTCCCCAGCGATAGTTTTCAATAACCCGCTGGTTAGTTGGGAATTGAAATGTGATCTAGCGCTCACTTCATCCCTTAAATTTGGAAAAGGAATAGCTGGTGATGTCCCCCGATTTCTGCAACATGGGACGCTGAAAGATATCCTTCAGGAAAGCTAGGTTTATCCATGCAGCTTTGTTTGCGAGCTGCGGAGGATTAAAGGCTCTTCGATAGTTTGACTTTTATGGCGTAAGGAGCTCCGTTGGTCCATTCATTGCATTGTTCTTTAAACTATTTTCTTCGCTCTACGGGTATCTAGGCGTATTCATCCCTTTTATCATACAGAACGGGTAATTCGTAAACATGCGTGTGCAATTTTCTATCGCAAGCGATAAGTGATTTTTCATTCGAGAATTATTTGGTACGTTGGAACGGAGTCTAGTCTGCCTTGTCCGGAACTAAAGAAGTCCAACAGTTGCATCCTGCGAGATGCTTGATGTGTTCCATTTATTTTGGGGATTTTTCCTGGTTACTTTGGCTGTCTGAAAGAGCGAGCCCATTTTGCATCAGAGTTCTCTTCACGTTTTTCATCGTAGAGATTCCCATCACTAGGGTTAAGTTTTGATGGTTATGTTTACGATGCTCTAGAACTATATTTTCGAAACATCTCGCGTTATATTTGTCCAAACTACCAACTTGATTGCTTATTTATACATCCTCTTTTCAGTCGTCTCAACCGCTATCCCAGGGATCACCTTCCTCGTCTAAACACCACCAGAAACGTGCAAAACCCACTCTCTTCCCCACCACATCACCATCTGATTCTCAATTTGGGACCCGTCAGCCTCGCACTCTTTTGTGGTAGCTAGAACTTGGTTATTTGCACTGCTGTAGTCTTTTTGAATTATCAGATTTGATTCCAAATGAATCGTTTATCTAGTCAACCAGCATTCGATGTCCTTTCATTTCAACAATTTTCCGTTCTGGGTTCCTTGGCTTGGTGTAGTTGTGATACCGTTGTTTCTCTGTATGCGGCTATTTCCCTCTGGGAGGGTTATCTGAAGGGGTTCCCATCTTTGCGAGCAGTCTCTGTTACAACGCAAACGGTACCTTTTTTACGAAGAGTAGTACATTCTTTCCAGAGAACTGACTTCAGTTTGTCCCCTTCATCTCCATTCCATTTTTTGCATACAGACCACATTCAGGAGGATGGAATCTCGGATAGGTTTATAATGGTGCGCAGCGTGCTCTCAGTTTACCTGCTGTGCCTACGTATCTTTTCTATCCTTGAAGCTATCAAGTTTTGGTTTCCAAGACTTGGAACACTTCCAAAAACTGCCAGGGTGAAGGTTGTTGTTTTTTTTGCTATGGATCACTTAGACGAACATCAGTATACCCCGTTAGGTCTTACTCACTCTAATAGCTGATTCGAGCTGAAAGATGAAGTACAACGAAAAACCTCAATAAGCCACCCATCGTAGGTCCAAACATTGCAAATTAATTGCGGTCTCCCGAAGTCAAAAACCTTTCAAAGATGTGACGTTACCGCGACCTTGCTTTTTGTCACTGACTGCTTGCTCTAGGAGTTGAGGTGAGCTGGTTTCGGTCTGTATTTTCCAAAAGAACGCAATCAAATCATTGAGTGAATACTGACTGGGGTTCTAGCTGATCCACATACTCTCACACAAATTTGTCAAGTGGCCATGGGGATATCGGGTCATCGACTGCTGGGTACGCTTGGTGATTTTCGTTGGAACCGGCTTGCTCACGTGAGATTAGCAAGCCACGTCCCATAGGACATGTTGATCAGGTCACATTTCAAATGTGGAAAGACCGTATACCTCAGTGACCACTTTACCAAGCTATGCGCACGGTGGTAATGACGAAGATGCAGGAGTACACAGCTTGGCAACTAAGTGTAAAATGTTTAACCAACAGGCCCAGTTAGGTCAGGAAAGGCTTAGTGCGTCGCCTAGGGGGGTGAATTTTCAGTATGTAGTGCATACGTTGCACACATAGAATAAATGGAAGACTGAGATACAAGAGCATTCCGTGATAGTAATGGACGGGAGAATTCATCGGGGCAGTTCAAGTATGTTTGCTACTACTGCGTACTCGAGGGGTATTCACCAGATGTCGGTCGAGATAAGAGGCTGCAGAATCCCAAGAGTCGATGGACTTGGTGGATAAACGTACAACCTGTGAACGCATGTAGGATGTTGATAGTGCGTGGGATGCTGTCAGGATTCCGTGCCTGAAGCATGGTAATGTATCCACGTGTTCGCTGGCTTCGCTGTCAACTAAGATCACCCTAACGACACCACCAACCCCTCAGACATGTTTAAGTTGTCTGACCATAACCGAGTTGTCGTTATTAACGATTCCAAAGGATAAATCAGGTGAACACTGAGTACGGTGTGGAAAATTACATCAGGTAACACCGATTGGTAAGAGTAGAAGGGACTTGGCTACTTCTGTGTAGCAGCATGGCAGATGAATTCCGAGCCCTCAAAAGGTGTGTCAGCGGCAAAGATAACAGAACAATGCTGTAATACCAAACGTTCCAAGTAGTTAATCTCCACGGATCCCGTCAAAAAGGCTTTGATATCGCTTGTCTGGAACTAATGAAAGCAAAACACCGTTAAATTATTGGCTATTGAGAGATAATGAAGGGTTGTACGATCGTCGCACCAGTTGGTCAGGTCCGCCATGTAAACGTGCGTTCATTGCAGAAATGAAGTGCTCTCAACCAGTCACAATATCGTCAGTGTATTGGCGTTCAAAGAGGATTTAAGGTGCCAGATTCACATATTTTTCAAACCGAATGAAAAAGAGGAGAGGTACACCAATATGAGTTTGAGGTGGACATTTCTCCACAAAAGTAGGTGAGCTGAGAATGATGGTAAAATAGTCTTAAATCAGGTCGATTTGATATGGCTGAACGCTTTTCTCCATTCCTCTGTAACAGGTTCCACAGGTTGTCCACAGTTCCAGAGATATTGTGATGAAATTTTGACGAGCCTGCTGCGTCGGTCTAGCTACTCACTGCTGAAACGACGGATTACACTGAGTACCCTTTGTACTTGACTGTGTCCACAGTGAAGTGTCCCTCCCATAAACTTATTGGGACAGGTCAGGTCCAAAGTAAGGAGGGGCCTGTTCGACCTGGTTAAGCGGCACGGGTATACAGGCTATTCGGCCTTAACGTTGATGTCCCTGGCGTTGGTATTATTCTTACCCTCTATCTTGAGTCAGGATTCTCTTGAAGATATTGAAAGGTTGAGTTTGCTGAGGATATAGGGGCACTTGGAACACTACTGGCAACATACGATTTTGGCGGTATGCTATTGGGCACCCCACTCGCAGATGCATCACTTACGCCTCATGGTACACTTTGTCGATGCCTGTACAGTTATCGATGACAGTGGTCATGTTTAGTGTGCTTGGAGGCCAAAAAGTCTGTAGTTGTGGTTATCGAAGTTTAATTACTAAAACAAAGCTCAAGACTTTCAGGGTGCTCTACATTTCAGGGTAGGTTTGCACTTTTGTCAAGACCTTAAGCAAGCAAGCAATTTTCGTCCTGTCCATTTGCATCAGTGTTTTCGACTCGCTTCATGACTTTTTCTCCCCCGCAGTAAGTTCGACGAGCGGGAGAAGCACGGGTGACGTGTCGGAACAATAATTCAAGTGGCTAGTCACGTCCCAGGTGAAATTCAGAACTTTCAGAATAAAGAAAACTAAAAATCCGGGACCACTCACAGCACTGACTAGCAGCTGGAAGAAATCTCTCAAACACGTAATCAGTTGATCACACGCGTCAAGACTGTACCATTCAGTGTACAGCTTTCAAAACAGGACAAAGTAATTTCAGCATTATCAATGGACGTATCCCAAACATCTAGAACTGGTGTATAATTGGTGTATGCTGGTAAAACGGATTGAGACCCGCCTTGTCCACAACGTTCCTCTCAATTTGGTGTCCCGAACAGAGATTCATCAGAGTTGAGATATCTCTGTGACGTTTTTCACTGCGAACAACCTATTGCGTGGACTGTTCAAGTTAAACCTGCCGGAGATGATGTGCGTAGGGACCCAATGGAGCGCTAAGTTTACCAATGAATGCGTTGCATCATAGTGCATATATGGGCTATAGCAGAAGATTGCAGCTCTCTCGAAATTATAGAAAGTCGCTGATAAGTTGGATGTCATGTATAGGGTAGAAGTTTTGGCACAACGCTTCCCAACGGTTTGATTCCTGCAGAGACCGTGGAAAAACCGTCACTAGCTCTTCCAACCAATTGAGTGAACGCAAGGGTTGCGTAATCTTTTCATCAGTCCGCAGATTTCTACTAAGTTGGAGGATGGCTCTACAGGGAAATGTGCTGTGCCGAAGTTCGCTGGCCAATCTCATCTCATTTGTTACATCTGAGGAGTATCATGCAAAAATACACTACTCACCGATTTTCCTGGATTGGCTTTGCATTGGATATCCTGTGGATGTTATCTTATTTTTAAAGAATACCGAAAACTCAGCAATATGCTAAAGTGCGATTCCGTGACTTGTCTTCTGTAAACCGGTAACATAATGCGAATTGTTGAAGGTGCTTGACCTTGAAATTCCGCTCACTTAAACAAAATGCTATTACCAACATATCACCGGGAGGATTAGACTAACTGCCTATAGAAGTATGAACTCCCAACACCCTATGGTTTTGGCGAAAATAATTTGGGTGTGCTTTTGGTGGGCGGAATGGAATTAAATTTTAGAAAGCCACGACGAGTCCCGGTATCTTAAAGAGGACATGCAATCGAATTCAGAGTACGAGTCTACAAATTTTCAGCCCCATCTAGACATCCCGGGGTCCCAGTGATGCTGGGAAAGCAGTCCACCGGACTTATGCCGCTTGGAGTATGATTGATTCCGTGTACGATGAAATTTGGTGGGCAGCAAAAACATGAATATTGACTAGGATGATTTTTAGCTCGAGCACATACGCATTAAAATGCAACATTCTGGCGCAAAACGTTTGTCCAGGTCGCAAAGGTTTTGCGGCTAAGAGCATTGTGCTGCCAATGGCCCCTGCAGAAAGCTAGATTTCTGATTAATCAAATCTCGACATCAACGCTGCTGCACCGTAAGGCGTTTTACGATTAATCCCGGTCACTAAATATATCTTGTGAATGAAAATAAATATTCGTGCTTACCGAAACAGCTTATTCATAATATATCTCAAACTTTATTAATATTCGAAACCCAGTCGAAGGATACGACCCGTGGCGAACTTTTTCTAAGATTCCCAGTAGTGGTCACGCAAACTCCAGCAGAATTATAAGGCTCGGGATTCTTGCGAATACTCAAATTTAATTCCAACAAGTTGTACACACCTATTTTGGCTCCCATTTTGATGTCCACTGTCAGCAGTGTAATGCTCTGTGATATTCATTGAGAATGGCATTCGCCATTTTACGGATGGTCCGATGCACATTCTCCCGCATCACTTGCATGTATTTCCAAATACTCAATGTGGCCTACGTCAGACCGCTCCTGGAATACGCCAAACAAATTGTCTACTCAGAACGCACGAAAGGCGCCACCCTCGTTGAGCGCCTCAGGGGGGCGGCCACGGACACATTTGCTGGCCTCAAATCCTTGAACTACGAAACGCATCTCGCGATGCTTGATCTCTTTCTCCTGGAGTACAGTCGCATCCGAGGGGACCTAATTCCTACTCGTGTCCTTTTTGAGCAAAGCTTGACCAACAGTTTTTCACCGTCGACCCAGTAAACGCACGGTTAGGGACATAGTAAGAATTTCAAGTTCAGAAAGCACACATTCATCAGGCAAATTTTTTTCTCATTTGAGGTAGTAGCTGCGTGGAATGACCTTCCTCCGACAGTTGTCAACGCTCCTTCCAGAACCCAGTTCAGAGCACTACTAGACAGTTATTTGTGTGAATCCTCGCTCTGGCAACCATACTGCTCCGCACTGAGAACATAAAGGGCAGTGCCACATCCTTTTTTCACTTGTGGCTTTCACGTGAACGACAGCCGCTGAAGGACAAAAACAAAACCGACCCGGGAAACTTGGACAAATGCCTCAATGCAGTGTACCAATCCATGAATCCGTGAAGTCCGGTGTGATATAAACAATATCTTCAATCGAAAATATCAGGCG